ACCATCATGAAGCCTTCAGTCCCACACTCCCCACCCCGTTTTCTTTTAGGTCTACATTTAGGTGGTTTTTATTTTTATTTGTTTCTTTAAAGAGATGAGGTCTCACTCTGTTGCCCAGGCTGGAATGCAGTGGCACAATCATAGCTCACTGTAACCTCCAACTCCTGGGCTCAAGCAATCCTCCTGCCTCAGCCTCCCAAGTAGCTGGGACTACAGGCACGTACCACCATGCTTGGCTCATTTTTCTATTTTTCCTAGAGATAGGGTCTCACTTGTGTTCAGGCTGCTCTTGAAGGAGTCTGAGCTCACCTCAAGTGATCCTTTTCTACCTTGGCCTCCCGGAGTGCTAGGGTTATAGGTGTGAGCCACCACGCCGGCCTTTGTAGGAACATTTTATGGAAGATTTCCTTGTCTTTATCGTCTAATCCTGCCATTGACTTTTTTATTGCTACTATAACGTGTCAATGTCCAAGAAACCTCTCTTTGTCTTTGATCATTCTTTTTGTCCAGCAATTTGTCTTGTGACTATAGCGACTTTCCTTTGTCTCTCTGTGGATAGTATAGTTTTTCTCTGTGTGCACGTGTGTGCGGCTTCGGTTAGCCTGTCCTTACTCCCCTTTCCTCTCCTGTGTGCCCCCCATCACTGGCTCCTGTCTCCAGTGAATGGAACGTGTGTGAGCACTGGACTTCTGAGCCTCACATGTAGGCTGCTCTAGCACTTCCGATACCTTCCACAATTCCATTGTGTTTACAGTTTGTATAGCGTCTCGTCACCTGAGCCCAGGGCAGATGCTTAAAGTGGTGTGGCCCCCGCAACAGTGTTCCCTTGTGGACTGGGCTCGGCCCGTGTTTTCCAGGTGGAGACAGTCTTCCTTTGGAGACTGGGAGTTTTTCTGAGCCCTCTTGGCCAGGGTTTGCAACTGTCCCAACTGCTAAGGTTGGTCATGTGGTATTGGAGAGGCTACAGAAGGATACCCCCCACACACACCCCGCCATCCTGGGGTGAGGGGAGGGCATGAATAGAGATAGTGCCTCCTTTTTCCCATTATTTTGAAAACCTTTTGAAAACCAAGACAAGGGTGGACCTTGTCTTGGATGGAAGCTAGGAAATGTCCTAGCAATTCGACTGGCTTGCATAATTGCTGTGTCCGATGCATCTGCTTGCCTGTACCTGGCTAGCCAGTAGGTGAAGCGTCTGCTCTCTTGGCCAGTGTCTCAGACTCATAGGAATGAGGGAAAAGAGAGGAAAGGAGCAGCTTTGAGTGGCCAGTAACTCAGCCGTGTTGAATTGAGCAGGGCTTGGTGTACTGGAGGTGATGGGGGCTGCAGAGTGCCTGCCTCATGCCAGCTGCTGGCTTGAGGACAGTGAAGCAGATTGGCAGCTTGCCTTGAGGGGGCTGGTTGGTCAGGTGGGTGGGCTTGTCTCACCGGTTATGGCTTCCTGCTCATGGAGTGCCCCTTCAATGCCCTTTGACCTCCAGTGTCCAAACCTGCATCTCACCTAATCCTGGAATCTGGCCAGGTGTGTCACACCCATGGCCAGTCCCATGTGATGTGGTGAGAGCTTGCAAGGGTTCGCTGAAGCTCAATTTTCCAGATCTCTCCTCCGGGCCGAGCTCAGTCCACAGAGGAACACTGCTGCGGGGGCCACACCACTTTAAGCATCTGCCCTGGGCTCAGGTGACGAGACGCTATACAAACTGTAAATACAGTGGAATTGTGGAAGGTATCGGAAGTGCTGGAGCAGCCTGCATGTGAAGCTCAGATACTAGGAAGGTTCTAGAGCTTATTCCCTCCCCTCCCCCCCAATGCTGCTGCTTCCTTGCTGAAAGTACCCTAGCGTGCCCCTCCCAATTCGTCCCCAGCTTGTCCCTGCCCCAGCCTAGACCTGTATCCACAGTTGTTCTTGGAGCAGCAGCCCAGACTTTAAATGGACGCATCATGCTGGTGACCTTGCCTTTGAAATAGCTAAATTGCATTGTGTGTTTCTGCTGCTTAAATGGGTTCATTATAGACTGTGAGGCATAAAAATGTAAATCCAAGACATTTTTGGCATTTGGAGAATTTGAAGGGTGCACATCAAGCCTTCTGCACTGAGGTGGGCCCTGAGAATGTTGGGGTGCCGCTAGGGCCCGCCCTTGGTACCCGTCCACCTGGTGGGCAAGAGGGCCAGGTGGGCTGTGGGCTTGTGAGGACTGTAGTTGTCACTCCCACCTGGTCTTGGGAACTCCTCCTCCCAGGGCTTGCATCCTTAGATGGTGTCTTAGTCCATTTGTGCTGCTCTAACAAAATACCTGCGACTGGACAATAAAGAACAGGAATTTATTACATTTCTCACAGTTCTGAAGGATGGGAAGTCCAAGATCAAGGAGCCAGCAGGCCTGGCATCTGCTGAGGGCCTGGTCTGTGCTCCTGAGGTGGTGCATATTGCTGTGTCCTCATGTGGTGGGAGGTAGAAGGGGCAAAGGCCTGAGCTAGTTTGCGCCAGCCCTTTTATAAGGCGGTAATCCACACATGAGGTAGAGCCCTTGTCAGTTAATCTCTCCCCCAAAAGCACCGCCTCTCAATGCCACTACAATAGGGACAGAGTTTCAACATGAATTTTGGGGGATATATTCAGACTAGAGCAGATGGTCTCCTCCTACCCCCTCAGGGCCCTGTGGGACCCACTGACAGGGTCCTCTGTATGTGATGTGCCCCTCCTCCTCCCAGGAAGATGTTTGCCCTCTTGAAAGAGGTTCCTTAGAGACTGTGCCATAACCTGGTGTGTTGGTGGAGAGTATGGAAAAGTCTGTGCCTACCTGGGCAGACACAGAGGTGGCCCTTGTGCTCTGCCCACCCGCACCTGTGCCCTTGGCCCCAGCCTCCTGAAGAGGGGGATGGAGGGAATCCCTGTTTTCAGAACCTGTTTGTGTTTTATTAGCAAGGTCGGTTTTCTGTGTAGTCTTGCCCCATGGACTCATTTTGGGTGCACTGAGCACTGTTCTGTGAGCCCACGTGGACAGGGCCCAAGGATGCTGCTGCTCTTTCCAGAACGCTGGCCCTGCTGGCAGATGCTTCTGTAGTTCATCTTACTCCAGTTGTAGGGGAACCAAAGCTCCTCCTGTCTTCTGCAAATCCCAGTCTAGCCTCAAAAATGTGAATTTGTGGCCCCGGGTAGTATGGCTGGGACCTCCTGACTACCCCAAATGTAGAGGGGCCTGCATATGTTCCTCTTCCAACTGTGACCGTCCCTCGCCTTGACTGTGGCAATGGCGGGTAAACACCACCTGCCGTACTAAAATGATATCTGTATCAGATTGGCATTTGTTGTGCTGGGCCTTACATTGTCTCATATTTATGGATTATTTGATTATTAATGAGCTTAATTGACTTTCCATGTTTTTATTTCCTTATATTTTTTTCTTTTCTAGAATTGTTCTTAGTTCTTGTGCCTGAACCATATAATAGGCCAAACTGTATAAAATTGCCATGTTTGTAGGTCAGAATGATCCAGTATTGGTGGTTTGGTATGATTAATCCTAAAATCTTTAGGACCTAATGCTTTTCATGTTTTAGTAACATTTTTCTGGTTATGAAAGTGTTCTACTTGTTACAAAATTCTTTAGATGTATAAAAATATATAAAATAGGAAATATAAATGTATAATGCCATGAAAATATCTTTTACTATTTTAGTGGGTTTTTTTCCCCATTTTATTCCCTTTTTTGAATGTATTTTCCTTCAGAAAGTTGCAGAAGCTCCTTGATAGAATTTTTATAAGGCATAAATGAAGCTTTATATGTAAAGTGACCAATAAGTATATTAGCTATTATTATAAACAGTTTTTTTCTTATTTTTATCCTACTACCCTTCCCATGCTATTAAATATTCTCCAGAAATATGATTTTCAATACTTTCTGTCATATAAATACACTATAACTTGTCAAACTTTCATCTTTTGTTAGATATTTTAAGTTATTTTTTTCCCTGTCCTATAAATTCTGATGAGCTCATATCTTTGTCTCTGGCTCTGTTTTCTTAATTACAAGACATTTCTATAAGGAATTTCATGTGAGTGTAATAACTAGGTGAGATAGTAAGAATGTTTTAAGGGTGTCAATATATAAACAGAGTCCCTTCCAAAAACGTTTGCCAATTGTCCCTTCCTCTAGCAATGTGTGAGATTTCCCTTCTTTACACACGCTAGCCACGTCAGCGTCGAAGCATTTCAGTCTAGATAATTTGACAGTCACAAATAGTATCTGTTTGTTTTAATTTGAGCATTTTTAGATGGTTATTAACCATGTATATATTTTTTCCTTTGTGATGTGTTTATTAACACTCTCTGTGTATTTCATTTACTTATTTATTTCAGAGACAGGGTTTTGCTCTGTCACCCAGCTGTAGTGCAGTGGCACGGTGATAGCTCACTACAGCCTCAAACTCCTGGGCTCAAGTAGTCCTCTTGCCTCAAACTATCCCCCCACAGCCCAGTAGCTGGGACCGCAGGCACGCACCATCATGCCCAACTAATTTTTAAAAATTTTTTATAGAGACAGGGTCTTGCCCATGTTTGCCGACAGGGCTTATCTCAATTCCTGGCTCAAGTGATTCCCTCCTGCCTCAGCCTCCCCAAGTGCTGGGATTACAGGTGTAAGCCACCATCATCATGCCTAGCAGTGGTGGAATTTTGAATGGTCTTACTTCTCTTTATACTTATCTCTATTTTCAAATTATTCTACAATAAATGCTTTTTACACAACAGAGAAATTCCGGTTCTTGTGACCAGTGACTGAAGGGCCAGTCTTTCTACCCTTGCTCCCTGTTCACCTGCTTTGGCCTCTCCTGCAAGGGTAGAGCTGATTCCTCCCACCCACGACCGGCAGGGCTCCTGGGGCCTTCTCCGCTCACCGGCTCCTGCCCGTGTCCAGGCCTGTACCCATTTCACAGTGTGGGAATGAGGGAGAGGTGGTGAAGAAAGGGTGCTGATGTTTTTCTTTTTCCCCTGGTGAGGGCAGCCTGCGATGGGATGGACGAAGAAGAAGAGAGCCACTACGTCTCGCAGCTCAGGGAAGTCTACAGCAGCTGTGACACCACAGGGACTGGCTTTCTGGACCGTGAGGAACTGACCCAGCTCTGCCTCAAGCTTCACCTGGAGAAGCAGCTGCCCGCCCTCCTGCAGACTCTTCTTGGAAATGACCACTTCGCCAGGGTGGGTATCGGGCTCCATTCTTAGAAAGAAAAGCACAGAGTTCTGTATTTGGCTATTGTGGGTGTTTGATAAATACCAGCTGAGTAAAGATATTTGTCAAAGGAAAGTTACCAGGAAGTGGAATAGTGTTTCCCCTCTGTGGAAATCCTACCCTGTAGAAAGAGTTTCCTTAACATTGCTTTTTTTAGCATAGTAACTTCCAGAGGTTTTTGTTTTGTTTTGTTTTTCCAGAAGGATGTTTGAGCAGTTTGTCCTGCGGGGTAGGATGGGGAGGAGGTTTGATATGGATGGGTGGTGTGTGGTGTACCACGGCCATACAGTTTGGGTCTGTGAGCAGCTCATGCTGGTAACTGTTCAGAGATAGCCTCAAAGTACCTCGAAGGCAGATTGACTTATAAAATGTCACAGCTTGAACTTTATCTAGCAGTTGGACCAAACAGTGGCAAAGTACTGTCACAAGAACAAAGGATATTCACACTTAGAGATGTCCCATAATTTCATCTAGGCCAGATAGGAAATGTGAATTTGGGCTGGGTGTGGAGACTCACACCTGTAATCTTAGCACTCTGGGAGGCTGAGGCAGGAGGATCCCTTGAGGCTAGAAGTTCAATACCAGCCTGAGCAAGAGCAAGACCTCATCTCTACCAAAAATAGAAGTGATTAGCCAAGTGTGGTGGTGCGTGCCTGTGGTCCCAGCTACTCAGAAAGCTGAAGCAGGAAGACTGCTTGAGCCCAAGAGTTTTGAGGCTGCAGTGAGCTATAATGATGCCACTATATTCTAGCCTGGGTGACAGAGCAAGACCCGGTCTCACAAAAAAAAAAATAAATAAAAATAAATAAATAAATAAAAGAAGAAGAAGAAAAGAAAGACAATGTGAACTTGGAGAATTCTTTTCTCTCAGAAGGTTAAAGTTATCCAGAATGGTGATCCAGGTCCTAGCCTGCAACTTGCTTTGATGATCAAAGCACTAAAAAGTACCTCCCCTCATTCCTACTTCCTAAATATACCCAGATGTTAAATATTTTAGTGCTAAAAACAGTGCCTGTTATCTTGTTGGTCATCTTAACTTTGAAGGAAGAACATTTTTTCCACAGGACTCAATAAAACTATTTTTATTTCGAATGGCAAAAAAAGAATCCCAGCCAGTAAATTTTCCTAAACTGGCCCTTGGACTAAAACAAAAAGAGAAAAACAAAAAACACCCACTGCTGGCCTAGGATAGAGTCCAGGTGAATCCTACCTCTTGTTATTAGTACTTCCCCGAAGAAACCTGCTCTGCCCTGTGAGCAAGGTGCTGTCACTCCCTCATGAAGAACTTTGCCTCAGTTAAACAGACTATGTCCTTTCTTTGACTTTTTATTCTATTCTTGCCTTTTTTTCTTTTAAAAGGATTTAAGAAGCAAATGGGTTTTGGACAATGTTCTAGCCTCCCTTGATAACACCTGGAATCGTATTTGGGACCTAGATGAACAAAAGGCACGTTTGTGAAAAATCAGCACTTTGGTTATTTCAGCAGTATAAATAGATGATCCAGTTTTCTTGATATTTTTTGACAGTTTAGAAAATTCAAAAACAAAAGAATAACTTCTGGTCCCAGATTCAGATTGCAGGCTCTGCTGATCAGATAAACCGTATCATTCCAACTTTCTTCACATTATGCTTTGTATGTGCAGGAATGGTGTAAGATTTAGAAACATCCAGTGATGAGGAAAAAATGGTCAGTGTTTGAACATCAGCAAGGAGAAGAATCAGCTTGGGTTGCTTGAAATTTCTGACTTTAGTCGTGTCACACACATCTTGAAAAGCGGTTCCTCTGAGGTGGAATTCCTTCTAGGAAGCTGGAAGTTTCTCCTACCACATTCGTGGGGAGGGAAGTTAGAAGGAAAGATACAACAGGAGCTCGGCCTTTTCTGATTCACACTTCTTGGCAGAGCTGCATGTGTGTCCATCTGTCGTCCTTCCGTTTGTCCCAACTCTGTTCCCTCTTGTAGCCATGATTTTCTGTACCCTAAAAGTAGATCAGATGTTGGATAAATTAAGAAGCAGCTTTGTTTGTATTAGTGCTCTTGAATCTGACCTGACATTACCCTTTCTTCTTTCTCTGTGACATTTTGAGAGCAGTACCCTCACCAGCTGGCATCATGGGGTACCCAGCACTTGTCTCTCCCACCCCTCAGTTTGTCCTGTCTCCTCTCTGATGGTGAGCCACAGTGGGTGACTTCTCTGTTCAGACTGTTACTGCTCTTCTGCTTCCTCCTACAGACAGGGTAGACCTCACACAGCCCTTGTGTAGGTGGAACATGTTGCAGAATTCTTAGGGGAAGCCAGTAATATCCATACAGTTGTCCCCATTTTCCACCACAAAAAGCAAATAATGGAGATTTCAGGGAGTCTCAAAGAAAACCTAGGTAAATCTTTTATCCAGAATGAATTGACCTTTCAATTCAGATACCATGTATCTAGTTTCCTTGTAGTAACTAACATATAGGATGCTGCATAGATGTTAGTCATTGATACAGAATCTAATTTAAAAATAAAGCAATATTATAGTGTTTGAATTAACAAGGTAATTTTTTTGATGCTTACTTTTTATTCCTATTTTCTGTTGAAGATACTTTGTCAAGGTTTGCTTTCAAAGCCAGAAAGTTAATATGGCCTAAAATTCCTGTGACTTTGGTGAGAAATTTCCATGCCTATTTTATGTCATCTTGGGTTTTTTTTTGTTTGTTTGTTTGGTGTTTTAAACCAGTGGGAGGATCTTAAACCTCGAGTATTTTAAATTTGGGCAGGGAAAGAATTCTGTCAAAAAAAAAAAAATGATTCTTAACATAGTGTTATTGAAAATACAGGCTGGGCATGGTAGCTCACACCTGTAATACTAGCACTTTGGAAGGCTGAGGTGGGAGGATCACTTGAGGCCAGGAATTTGAGACCAGCCCGAGCAAAAACAAGACCCTGTCTCTACAAAAAATTTAAAAATTAGCCAGATGTGGTGGTGCACCTATAGTCCCAGCCAGTTCGGAAGCTGATGGAGGGGGATTGCTTGAGCCCAGGAGTTTGAGGTTGCAGTGAGCTATTATGACGCCACTGCACTCTACTTCAGACAACAGAGCGCAAGACTATCTCAAAAAAAAAAAAAAAAAAATCCTGAAGGTTAATACCTGTAGGGCAAAGGTGAACTGCAAGTAGGTTAGCCATTATACTACCCTGTGGTCTGGTCTTATGCCCTCTCAGTATTCTAGATAACATCAAACTTTGCACTAGGTTAAGGTGATCCTGCTTTGATAGTACCTTCTGGCACCTGGCAGAAACAAACAAAATTCCAGTCTTGATGAAAGTGCCTCATCATCCCAGATATGAAATTATTCCTAAATAATAGCCAAAGACAATGGCCAGCATACATTCAGGGATAACTAGGCACACAACAAGGTAGGATGAGTAAGAACCAGTAGAAACAGCAGGCCATGGAAGCAGACCTACAAAGATGTGAGATATTCGAATTATTGGGCACAAAATGTAAAACAACTATGGCTACTATGTTAGAAGAGATTTTTTTTTTTAAACTCAGAAATATCTACAGGAAACAGGGAACTCTAAAAAGTGATACATGAAATCTGAACAACAAAGCAAATAAAACTTCTAGAATGGAAAAGTTTGATGAGCAAAGTTAAAAACTAAATGAAAGCATTCACCAGCAGATTAGACACAGGTGAAGAGAGAGCATTCATTAACTGGAATCATCCAGAATGCAGCATGAAGATATAAAAGGAAGCAGTAGGAATGATGGAGCCAGAAGGCCCAGTGTCCCTTTCACTGGAGTCCTAGGAGGAAAGGAGTGAGTGAAGAGGGGCATTATGTGAAGAGATAATAGCTAAAAAGTTTTTTAGAACAGATGAATCATACTTCCTGGGATTCTAAAAGCCCATGGAATTCCAAGCAGGATAAATAAAAAGAAATGCACACCTGGCCATATTATTGTGAAAATGAAGGAAAACAAAGACAGAACATCTTAAAAGCAGCAATAGATGGGTACAGAGGATCTCTTTGCATTTTTTCTTACAGCTGCATATGAATCTGTAATTATCTCAAAATGTAAAGTTTAATAATTTAAAGCCAGAGAAAAGAGGTATCGACATATCCTAAGAGTGAGCCATAGATTGGCAGCTGTCTTCTCCAGTGCAGCAGTGGAAGCTAGGAGACAGTGGAAAGATATCTCCAGTGTGCTAGGAGGAAATAACTGCCAACTTGAATTTCATACCCAGCAAAAATAATCCTTCAAGAATCAAAGTGGAAGAATGCATCTGTGAGAAGGAAAGTTCTGCTCAGCAATGAAAGGATATATACAAGCAAACACATCCAATAAATATCTGTTGCGTACGTGCTGTTTGCCCGCAGTGAGCTCACATTTTATTTGCAGATATAGTCTAATGTCAGGTAGTGGTACACATGTGCCCCAGGGAGAGGTGTCTGCAAACAAACAGCAACATTTTGTACTCAATGGCAGCAACAGAGATGTGCTCATACAACCTCTTGGCCAGATTTGGGAAGCATGCTTGGACTTAACAGCCCCAAACTTGCTTCTCTAACACTTACTGGTGATATATTTACTTACATGATAGCCCTTCTGTTGACTTCTTTCTGTGTGAATTTGAGTCATACCAAGAGAAAAGAGCACATACCAGAGTGTACAGCTCAGTGAATATTCCAAACTGAGCACACCTGTGTAACCATTACCCTAAATCCTGCCTCGTGTTCTTTTTGGTTCCTCTACCACCAAAAGGTTAACTACTATCCTAATATTAACACCACAGGTTTGTTTGCCTATTTCTGAACGGTATATATATGGAAATATACAGTATATACTAAGTACAGACTCTCTGCTTTCTTTTACTCATTATTTTGTTTCTTGAGATTCATTCATGATGTTCAGTGGTTTGTTCTTTTTCCATTTTCATTCATGTCATTGTATGACTATACCTATATCACAATTTGTCCATTC